TCTTTTTTGTTTCATTTTTATTTCTTTATTAATTAATTTATTTTTTCATTCCATGTTCTTTTGTACATTCTATCACATTATTATTTGTCTTACAAAGTGGATATTTCAACAGGTGAACATTTCTCCCTAGTACAGTTGATAAAACTACAAAACATCTTCAACAGGTAATACCGCACCTCTTTGTGCCATTAATGCCTTGCTCTCCTATCCTCCCCCAATGTCGTTCCTCAGACCCTCCTCTTTTACATACACTATATCTGGTAATGCAGAGAGGAGTCGATGAGGCACATTTGGTGGGTATGACTGCAGGCTGACAGCACACATAAACGACAAGGAAATAGCTTGAAATCATCTGACGATTTTGTAGTTATGAGTTAAAAACACATGTCTTTGTGGGGTTTAGAAGGACAGTTGTTCAAAATTTTACTTATCCAACAAGGTTTGGGCTATTTTTCATCAAATTTTCTCCAGTCCTATGAAATAAAGGATTATGAATAAAAGTTGATAAGGTAACTTTGTGCTTGTGCAAAGACTGATGAATATTCTGTCCCCATTGTTTATTTCCTGACTTGGGTACCATTACAGCTATTCAATTCAAGGAACGTGATCATCAAAAAGTTTCCAACGGTTGTTCTGTAGTTGTGGGTATAGCCTTGGTCACTGCAGCCTCTAAACTAAACAAAACTCTTCAGAACTCCCCGACAAATGCACAAGTGGATAAGGATCCTTCACACATAAAGTTAATAAACCTCAAGAAAAAGTGCAAGTGACCCCAAACACTGCCAATCCAGAGAGTGCCGTATTAGGTCGGCGACACCCTAGAAGATGCATCTTCTCCGTTCTTACTGGATATCACTGGCTGAGACAAGCATCCCCACAATCAGTTTGCAACTACAGTGCCACCAGCCGACCGTTCACCCCATCCCTGCACAAACACGGTATCTTATTTACTCTCCACACCCATTATTGACATCCATTTAGAGATTTTCCAGCGACTTCTGAAAACGACTAGTCCAGAAATAGCGATGATAGGACACATTTTACTTTGGCAGTGTAATGATCAAAATCAAGCTTACATAAGTTGTAATAAACTCAGAAAGAGTGCTAAGAGAAATGCAGACTCTAATCATAATTTTTATGCACTACATTAGTTCAGAGATTCAAAAGCACAGTTTGAGCTAGTGGAAGAGACTGTAAAAATATCTTTTCGACAAATAAATGTTACAGAATCTGTGCACATTGATCTTCCATACAGAACAACTATGAAAAAAGATCTGGCGAAAGCTTAGCTGTCATGTATCAGGACCAACACAGTCCCTTGTGGAAAATAAATAAATAAATAAAGTTGTCTAAATCTCTTATCCATTCAAAATATAAGGTAGGGAATTTTTTAGTAAAATGGCATGCACATTAAGAGAAGTTCATGCTGGCCCAGCTGTGGCAGTGCAGGCAGTGCCTTGCCATACCAACGCCATCTGGGAAAGCTCAGAGCTCAGTTTCTGGGTCAACCTGGACATGCTGGGTCTGTCTGCAGGGCTCCCTGACCTTTGCTGGCTGGTAGTAAGGGGGAAGGATCATGGCATGACAAGGCCCTGCTGGATGTCTGTGTCCCTGTTCTCAGAGCTGGGCAAACAGTAATGGATAAAAGAGAGAAAGAGATACCTAGTTTAATGGAATCCGTTTTCCGGGTGGAGGAGTGGGGGGAATGATAATGGAAACATAAGATGAATAAGTCTATTTAAGTAAATTCAGACATGACAATTACACTAATAAATTGAAAGCAATTAGTCATTAAAAATAGCAAGTAAGTGGTACTAACAGGGGTAGGTTGTCTTTACAAATAGGGTGATCTCTGTCGGCCTCCTTGAGAGAGAAGCTTTTAGGCAAAGACAAGAAGGGAGCAAGGGCATTATTACAGAGATGTCTGGGAGAAGGGGAAGTCTAGAAAAGTGAAGAGTCAGCTAGAGGACCAGCAATTAGAAGAGTGTGAACAGTACAGAACACAAAAGAAAAGAGTTCCTAGGTAAAAAAGGAAGCAAAATCGCCTAGGGTTTGCATCCCCTAAAAAGATCTTTACATTTTCTTTACACTGAGTGAAATAAGGAAATTTTGCAGGATTTTAGCAAATGAATAACTTCATTTAGATCATGTTTTATAAAAAACCATTCTGGCTGCTATGCTGACAAGAGAGTGTGGGCAACTTTAGAAGCAGAAAAGATATGTCTGTAATTTAGGCAAGAGATAAAAGTGGCATGTATCAGGGTAGAAGAAGTTGAAGTCCAATAAAGTAATAGGATTGTGCATATATTTTGGTGGTAGTGACAACAGAATTTCTTGAAGTCTTTGGTACGGGATATAAAGGAAAGAAAGGAAGATATGAGAATTCCAAGTTTTAAATGAGAGCGGCTGAAAACACTGAGTTGCAAACAACTAAAACACGTATTTCAGATAACTTTAGATAACTAAGTGTAAATCTTGAGTAGGCAGTTGCATATACGTGTTTGAAATGTGTTAGAGGAATGATCTCGTCTGAAGAAATTGCTAAAACACATGTGGACTAAAATCAAACTTGGAAAAATATCAGGATTTTATATATCCTGACATTTATCCAGAGGCAATATATATGTCTATTTTTTACTCTTCCATATGTTGTTGTTTCTCTGTTGTTTTTCCCCCTATTCTTTCTTTATCAAAGAGCTTTGTAATAGTATACTTTATCTCCTCTGTTATTATTTTCCCTCAAAAATTCAGAGTTTATATTATGGCATAGCTATGGCTCTACTTCATATTATCTGTTTACTTTCAAGGCCACTATAGCTATATTTTTTCCTGTTTTTTAGGTCAAATTCTTGACACTGAAGCTGCATGAGCTTGGAAGAAGAGTCTTCCCCAGTCAAGCCTCCAGATGAGAGTGCAGCCAAACTGACACCTTGATTACAGTCTTGTCAAACCATGAGCAGCAGACCCAGATCAGCGATACTCTAAATCTTGAGCCACACAATTTTCAAATAATAAATATATATCTTTTAAGCTACTAAATTTGTGGTAATTTATTATGCAGAAATAAATAATTAAAGGATCATCTTTTAAAAAGCAATATGAAATTGAAAACACAAAATCAGATAAAAATAATTGATTACCAGTTTGAACCAGAAAAAATTCCACAACAAATTACTACTAATAAAACGATATTGAAAAACAATACCCACTCTGGGTATTGAAAAATACTCTGAAAAATACTCATCATTAAAATTCATTTGAAGTTCAATGGAGTACTTTTTTCTCCAACTCTGTGAATGTGACTTATCTTCAATATCAAGAATATTATATTCTATCAGAGTTTTTTTGATTGTGACAGGAAATTTTACCTACACTGGCTTTGACAAAATAAAACTAAGATGATTCACTTTTTTAAAAACAAATTTAGGAATATATCTAGAGTGTAAATACAGCAATACAAATGTATTATCAGGATCCAGTTTTTTGCTACGTCTCTTTGTTCAGCTTGGCTAACTTCTCATGTCGGATTCCTTTTACTTTCACAGTTGAAAGATCACTGGCAGAGGTGCCTAGAAATTTGCCTTTCCTTATTCTCATTCAACAGAAAATAAGAAGCTTCTGTTCCAGTCACTTCACAGGTTGTCCACAACAAAGCAAAGCTATGGCCTGGATGATTTAATGTGCTGCTCTGGTGGTCATGGAGGTAGAACCTCACAGAACAGCCTAGACTGAGAGTCGGAGATAAACTGAATCTCCAGCTCTAAATCGACGACTCGCTGGAGGCAAGGAGAATGAAGTCGGGAAGCCAAGTCATCACTGTGTGGATTGACTCCGCAAGTGAAGACAGTGGCTTGGTTTGCATTTTTTTCTCCAAAGAGGATTATTTATTTCCTCTTATTCTGGTTAACTTTGCCCTAAAAAGAAAAAAATTCTCAAAACATACTTTCTAGGCAAAAAATAGAAATTCAATGGATCTGGCATTTAGATTTTAAAGGTTTTTTTAATTTACATATTGGTTTTGCTTTTCTTACAGTAAAAACTAACTAGAGATAAGAAAGGAAAATACACACAAAAAAATCTTAATAATTATATTATTGATACCTTATTTAAATTAAAATAATTATGATACTCTGTATGTGTGAATTATGTATGTCTACACATTTTGTATGTATATATAAAGTGTGTATGCATGAACACAGAGTGTGAATATATATAGTATGTATGCATATATATATGTATATATATATATATATATGTATGTATTAGGTCATTAGGAAAATCAAGACATATTTTTGTATGTATTTCTATGCAAGAGTATATCATGACTTTCCTGATGACCTAATGATATATATACCTCTATTGTAAATCAATCTATACATCTATAAATTGACATTTCTAAATATGGCTACAGACACACACACACACACACACACACACACCACATTAGGTAGCATCATACAGGCATTTTTGAAGCTTTATTAGAAACAATTTTGAGCACAGTTCTAATATGCTCATAATACACGATGGCAGGTTTAATTCATTAGAAAGGCTTTAAACAATGTTTTAATTATATAACACTATCATGAGTGCTCTTAGATGGTGGGAAAATATCTGAGGGGTGGGACCAGCAGACAGCATAATGTTTATGTCACTGGACTCCCACATAGTCAACTGTCTGAGATTCGAATCCTGGACCCGGTGTTTTAAAACTTATGCTGGGTGCCTGTGTGTGCGCTCCCAAAATCCTGATAGGAGGATGGAGAAGGGATTTCAACGTGACCTCTTCCCTAGAAGGTGATTTCTCATTTTCTGTCTCTCTGTCTTTCTGGTGAGTACATGCACCCTATAGCTAACATTTCTAAAAAAGAAAAAAAAAAGTATTTGAAGGGCATGGATATTGGCAAAGCAGCAAGCCACAATGCTTTATAAGGCAATACCACATGGAAAAGTTTCTGATTCAAGTCTGGAGACCTCCCTGGGTTCCCCGGGGAAATACTTACCCACGATCCAGGACTGCCTACAGGGTCAGGGTGGATTTCGGCATCTAGACCGTGCTGGATATGCTATCTCCTCCTTCTCTCCTCGTTCTCTCTTCTCACTTGCTCATGAAAGAAAGAAATAATCATTAAATTTAAAATATATCTTAAACAACATGAACTTGGGCAAAGTGTATTCAATAACTTTCATGTGTATGTATTATATATGTACGGGTGTACATCCCAAAGACTACATAAGAAAGAATTCAGAAAGTGGAAATGTGTTATTCCAGGTGTTGGAGTAATCTGGGTCAGAGTTAGGGAACATCAGGCCAGTGATTTCACCTCAGAAAACCCACTTAATTCCTCTGAACCACAGTTTTCTCCTATAAAATGTAAAGTGCATCAGGTGTTTATTAAGTAAATGTTTACTAAGTGCTGAGTTTATAGCAGAAAGGACATTGTGTGCACAGAACATAAATTTTTGTAAGAAAATGATGATAAATAAGATGAAGTAAAATACTAATTAAAAAGGTCCTAAGGGGAGGCCAGCAGGGTGGAGGTTAAGTTGACTGGATCCAAAATGGCTGACTAGGAGGTTTTCCTGGACCTGGCAACTGGAAAAACAAGCTAAGTGCAGGTACATGTGTGCCCATATTCCTGAGAAGAGATTTCGTGTGGCCTTCCCCTTGGGGCATGATTTGTCGCCTTATCCCTCTCTTTCTTTCTCTCTCTCTCTCTCTCTCTCTCACTCTTTCTCCACTAAGCACTTGCAACCTACAGCAAAAAAAAAAAATAGTGTGAAATATTAAAAAAAATAAACAGAATCAAAGCATGGAATGAGAGTAAACACAACATGGTGGGTCAATTGGTCAAGTGAACCAAGTCATGAAAGACATTAAGCAATATCCTAATATCAGATGTTGTCCTAGGAAATAGATTTAAACATCTAAACATTCTGTATAAACCTAAAAATAAAAAAAGATATTAATTATGTTTAATACATCAATTTTCTCAAACTGGACAAAATTAATGCTATTATCAGAGAACTGTGTATTAGGTAACCAAAGCCCAAACTTTATGATTGTTTAGAATGCTCTTTGCTTCTGATAAATTTATTAAATTATTTTTCACTTAAATATCTATAGTATATACATATGTATATAAGTAAATATATATATATGTATATATATATATATATATCATGTACATACCTATATATATATATATGTATATATATATATATATATATACAGTTAACATTTTAATCATACCTCTTTCAATATTTGGAACTAAAGAGCAAAATTTTATTTGTAGTAAGTCACCACTGAGAATAATACATGTGACTAAAAGTTATAATCTTGTTACACTTTTTTAAAATTTACAGGCTGTCAAATTAGTGCCAGTAAAAAAATCACAATTGACAGCCTATACAAGGAAACTCCTTTATAAAACTCCTATCACTGAAGGCTTATTTAACCTCCATTTGACCCTTTTCACAGAATTCCTAACACTGAGATCTTCAGTGAGAAAATATAATCTAGAGTGAAAAGAATAGATAAAATGGTGACAGATGACATTGGAAACAGATTTGAAGTGACATAATGTGTGTTGTGAAATTTTGACTTGTCCTGTCAAGTCTTTATTTCCTAAAGCAACCTGGAGTTTTCATGGCCCCAAAGCTTATTCATAATTCTTATTTATTTTGACTTACAAACACCAACAATGAATTTAACCAAAATGATTCTGACTCAAGCTTTATTGCTATCTTTCAAAAAAAAAAAATGACATAAAATACATGTTTAAAGAGTTGAGACCTTCACTTCTCTAAGACTGAAGGTATATTAGGTACCAGAATCTGCCCAAATAGAAGTGACTATTCATCAAATAGTTCTTATAGTCAGGCAGATTAAGTGTTAAAATTTGCAAGAATACTGCAGGAAAGAGGGAAAAAAAATAAAACATGGTAAGGACAAAAAATAAAACCTGGAAATAGCCAAGATTGCTTTTTGATACAGAGCAAATAGAAGAACTTCAGTAGTAGACTGAAAGTGGAGCAGAGTCTGAAGAAGTCAGGGGGTGAGCCATAGAAACAGCTGATGAGGGCCTGTTTCCCAGGAGTCTAAATCATGTGGGACTCAAGACTTTCATTTTACTCTACTTTCCAAGCATGTTTGCTCGTATCTTGCCCATGAGTTTATAACCTTAGTATTCTTATTCTCTTTTTAAGAATTATTTAATTTAATTCATTTATTATTATTTTTTAAATTTGACCAGAGAGAGACAAAGAGAGAGAGAGAGAAAGTATAAAAAAGCAAGCTGTCAGGTCCAGGACTCAAACTATGGTCAGCCATGTGGGAGGCCAATGCCTTTACCACCACACCACCTGCCAGCCCCTTCTTATTCTTTTTTCACCTCATGGTTTAATTGACCCTTTCTTTGTAGTGTTTGTATTTGTCTACCTTTTTTTTTACTTTGAATTAATACCACATTTATATTGTTACTTCTGTTTCAGTTACAAAGTAATTTATTCTAGTATTGATTTTGGAAATACTCTGATGACAGAAAGTTTCTAAAATGCCATTAAAGAAAATTTGTGATTATTCTTTATTCCCCTGTATGGGTTTAATTATAGCCCTTAAAAAGATAGGTTGAAATTCTAACCTCCAGTGCCTCACAATGTGAAATAAGATTGTTGCTAATATCATCAGTTGAGAGTAGATTATTAGAGTGGTCCTTAATTCACTATTAATTTTGTCTTTATTACAAGAAAGAAACAAGTATGCACAGAGGGAAGACAATGGGAAGACACGTAGTGAAGAGACAGCTGTGTGACAGGAGACATACATCTACAAGCCGAAGAACAGCAAAGATTGCCAATAACCACTGGAAGGTGGAAGAGTCAAGAAAAGATTCTCCATGATGGCCAGCCTGTGGAATGGTGGTTCAGGCCTCTGGATCCCACCTGGGCAACTAAGAGGTTCCAGTCATGGACCAGGAGACTCGAGAAACGTTGTGTGTATGCGTGTGCCCCAAATCCTGAAAGCGGGAAGAAATGGAGTAACGATTCCCCAACCAAAAGGTACTTTTTCATGTTCCCTCTTTCTCTCTGAGTCTCTCCAGTCTGTGCACCTACTCTCCAGCAGAAAATTAAATAATAATAATAGGAAGAAGATTCTCCTGTACAGTGTCTAGAGAGAGTATGGCTTTACCAATACCTTTATTTGGACTTCTAGCCTCCCCCAGAGAATATGAATTTCCATTTTTGATGCCACTCAGTTTTTGATGCTTTCTCTAGAATAGCTCTATGCTTACAATTTCTCTAGCCCTCACTGGTATATACTAACATAAAAATAGAAAAATGCTGGGGTTTTGTTTGTTGTTTTTTTTTTTTCTTTTTTTTTTCCTTTGGGAGGGGAAGTGCCTTTTTACTTCCATTAATTTGTAAAATACTTCCTTCTACCCCGGTGTGTTTCATAGTTTTGGCAGGTACTTGTTTCCTCTGAGCCTCCCTCAGACACAGCAAGAAGCCATTGGGTAAGGCAGCCCATGGCCTTCACCTGCAATTGGGGTGTTTTCTGACTGGACAAATGAAAGAATACTCTCTAATAACCAAACTCTGAGGCATTCATTCACTAACTCCACCCTACAGCAGTGCTTTCCAGACTTTAATGGATACAAGAATCACCTGTTAAAAAGCAGATTCTGATAAAATATTCTATACTCCTAATTATCCATCTGGCAATACTAATGGCCTTTGTTCAAGGACTGTATTTTGAGGAGTGAAGTTTTAAAATTTTGACATTAGGCCTCAAGTCATAAATCTAGATATTATCCTTAATATCTTCACCCAGTCTAGGCAGCACATTTCTGCATTTTCAGAGAGAAAAAAAGGACGTCTATAGATGTTGGGACCTGAAAAGACATTCCCAACAGTAAGTGAATTAAAAATAGACGTCCCACTTGGACAGATATTTTGGGAGACAGCACACTTTCAGTAGGAATACATAGCTTTAACAAAACTCAAGGAACAGCGCATTGAACAAGGGCTGCATTTCAACTTGTACTCTCCCTGTGGACAGATGTCTTTCAATGGAATAAACTGCAGAAAGCATCCTTTATACTTTCATCTCCTTCTCTCCAACAGCAATCAAATGGTACCAATTCCAGTTCAGATACTCTCTATAATCTACTCCTCTCTTCAGCGACACACAGCACTTACTCAGACGTTATCCATGTAAAATCTGATTAGTCAACACACCTCAACAACTTACCCCAGAAAAGTATTTCTGTATTTCTACTATATTGACCTGTCTAAAACATAACTCTCCTTAACTTTCTCCTCTCTTTATAAATCTTCCAAAAGTACACATTGTCAAGAGGATAAAGTGCCAAACCCCACTACGACTCCAAAGTATGATGCTGCAGTAACTGTACTTCTTTGGTTCTTGCTTCCTCATCTCTCTCTCATGTATTTGCGTAGGATTTCTGGTCATTGCTGTCACATACCAGGTGAGACAGGAACAACAATAAAATTTATTTATTTATTTATTTATTGGGATTTTCAGGCCACTGGGTCTGGAACCTGAACTGCAGTTGGCCATGTGGGAGTCAAGCATCTCAACCACGATGTCACCTGATGACCCCTGGAATTAAAATTTTATCAAGCCCAGACAGGGTTGAGAAACAAAATGATAAACATAGTGCAGCCCTTTGGACATAGATATGCTATCAAGAGGCTTTGCTATAAGTGAAAGCTTGAGTGCAATAATAGAACTTAGTGGTAACCTTCAATGTAGTTATTCATCAGCTTTCATTAAATGCTATCAACATTCACAATAAAAAGAAAGCAAACAACAAACACTATGGACTACATTGTGAAAGAAAGAAAATGTGCCTGGTTTATCACAATTGAGAATTTCTATTCTTCTTGGGCACAGAATTTATCCTCATTCCCAGTAACACTGACACAGGCAAACTGTGGATCTAGGTTCTAAGCAATGTGTGGTAGAGTGTTACAATAATAACTCTTAGAGAATCATGTCTTCTGTATTTTCATTGCATTGCAAATGAACATACCCTTCCCATCAAGCGGTGGAATTCCTTTCCAAACTCTTTGAATTTGTACTGGCTATGTGACTTGTTTTGAACAATAGAATGTGGCCAAGTTATGTCATGTGACTTTGAGGCAAGTCTACCAGATCTTGCAGCTTCTGTTTTTCATCCTCTTGAAATATGTTCCTGATGTGTCCATGCTTTGAAGAAGCCTTGGATAAAAGACTGCCTATGAAGAGAGTTCTAGTGGACCCAGGTCAACTCAGGTCCCAGTTATGCATCAGTTGATTGCAGCCACATGAGTAAGCCAAAACAAGATCAGAAAAAGATATATGTACAGGCCATAGAATTATGAGAAAAAAAATGCTATTGTTTTAGGACATGGAGTTTTGAGGTGACTTTTTACACAAAAATAAATAACAGGGGAACCAGCAGGTGGTATGGTGGTTAAGGTGCTGGACATTCCCACATAGCCAACCATAGTTTGAGTCCCAGACCTGGTGGCATGCTTTATCACTTTCTATCTCACTCTCTGTCTCTCTAGTCAAATTAAAAATAAATGAATGAATAAGTAAAAATAAAATAATTCAAAATTTTAAAAAGATGAAATAAAATAAATAAATAAATAACTGACAGAAAGTAACATTTGCAAAAAATGATTGCACCCCTTCTAGGGTTGACCCATAAAATCCTCTTATGAGCATTCTTCCACATTCATTTCTTTTTCTCAGAAGCTGAAATGAAGATGATCTCAGTAAAACCTTAGAAGACATTTATGAATGATTGCAAGCCTCCAGAGCCTGTCACCTGAAAGATTGGTCATGACATTGAAGGCAAAGATATCTTCTTAAATGAGCAAAAAATAAATGTCAAGCATACACATATATTTTGAGTTTTATTACAGGAGTTAACATATATTAATTAATATGCCAACAATAATATCATTAGGTGATCTTTTGCAATTGTTTAGATAATGTCTGGTTTCAGAAGCATATTATTTGTGAACATAAAGTTTTGTAAAACTAATTGGTCCTTCTATATATATTTTTTCATACTAAAACATATTGGAAAAACAGAAATACTCAGAAGAGAAAAACATTTATTCATAATTCCCACACTAGAATTTTGGCATTATTTTATATAATGCATATGTACATTTTAAACCTAAATTTATATATATTTTTTCACCTAACACAGTATATGTAATTTCCATGCATATTCATAACTTTCTAAAACGATTGCATCATACTCCATCTAGTGGACTGAACAAAACATTTCTTATTTTTGTATTTATCATTCAAGTCCCAAATATTGTGTTTTAAGTGCACATATTATTTCTGCAAATGTAGCTTTTTCTTTTTTTTGTATCACTTCTTTATTTGCTACTCCTTGTTAAAATAACATAGACCATGTTCACATGCATGAGAAAGAGAGAAAGAATGCACCTTAGATGTGTTCTGTTTTGACAAGATCCACTTTTCCCAGCCTTCCAGCTCCTCAGAATTTTGGGCCTCTGCTTGAGCACCTGGAGTGTTTTCAGGCCAACCTGGGGAATCAAACCGACAGTTACCACGTGGGTTCCAGCACTGCTGTCTCTTAACATGATGGACTACACCACCTAGTCTAAGTCCTTTATTTGCTACTGCTATTTACTTAAATTAAATATTTTAATATTTATGTTAAGTTATTAAAAATTTTTAGTATACTATATACTTAATTATTTGCTTTGCATTTCTGTTATGTTTATTCTAAAGGCACTATATTACTGTAACATTGGATTATTCTTTACCAAACTTTGCAGGCTCTGCTTGATAGTCAAGCTTAATTACTAAGTAGCATATGAGATTATGGTAATGTTGCTTCCTCCCTCAAAAAACTTAAACTATTTTTCACACAGTTCACCACTGTTCTCTGTATGTTCTTATTCCTATATCATTAAACATAGATATCTCCCACGATCCAAAAACCAGGTCAGCACCATAGTTGGAACATACATGGCTAAGTAGGATTTAAGTCCTGGCTCCTTCATCTTAAAAACGCACACTGAGAGAGAAATCATGCTCAAGATCCCAATGGCATGACAGTTGGAAGAAAAAAAAATCGTGGTATGACCAGGCCAGGCCAATGAAGGTGCTTTATCTCCCCATCCCCTTATATGTACATGCCTTCTAGCATTTAAACAAACAAACATAATCTAAGAACCAAGAACATTTTTAGTCTACTGAATCATCTTCTCTATTAAATTCTCATCCCCAGGAAACAGACAGACCTTGATCTGATGATTTTATTTAACCCTAATTAACTCCAAAGTCCTCTGTTCTGTATACCATACTTGGATAAGTTTCTAACCTCTTAATATTGTCACAGCAGCAATAAATGAATCTGAGGGGAGCACATTCAAGCTGTGGCACACCTTAACATTGACTTTCTACATTTTCTTCTGTTTTCTGAAATATCTTCACAGACACCTGAAATATAATATTTAAAGACCAAATAATTCATTCTCTTGCCAGCACAGACTTTCCCACCCTTCCCATTACTTTTAGGGTGTCCTTCTCAACATCCTTGCAATTTCTCAAGAATTACTTCGAATTTTCTCTTGCTATTCAAAGATATGTAGGTTCCCTGAGCTATCCTATAGGCTCCTAAAAACAGCATATCTTAAAAATTAAACAAATCATATTTATTTTTATATCTCCTTCGGCTTCTGGTAATTTTTATCTCAGCAAGTGACAATATCAATCATCCAGCCATTCAAACCAGAAATCAAGTTTTTACAAGTTACAATATTCTAACCTTTAATCGGCCACCAGGCTTTATCGCTTTTTATTTGACTTTATTTTTTTCTGTTTGTTAAAAATTTTATTGCAATATTGTGTGTGTGTGTGTGTGTGTGTGTAATATCTTGGCAGATAACTACGCTTAATGATGTAGGAATAAAAGCACACAGGGAAAAGTAATGAACTGTGGGAAACAGTTTAAATATTTTTGGGGAGTAAGTAACAATTATAATCTCCTATGCTACTTGAAATTAAGCTTGCATATTGAGGGAGGATTGCAAGTGTTGATAAAGAGTAATTCAACGAGAGGCCAGCAGGTGGTGTAGTGGCTAAGATGTTGGACTCCCACATGGCTAACCTGTTTTTAGTTCTGGACTTGGTGGTTTGATAATCCACTGGGTGCATGTGCTCAAAATCTTAGGAGAATGGAGGAGAAAGGATTGAGGCATGGCCATTTCCCAGGGGAGTGGTTTCTCACTTTCCCTCTCATTGTTCTCTTTTTCTCTCTTTAGCAAGCATATGCACTCTATGACAAAAACTAAAAATAATTAATTAATTTAAAATGAATAATCCAATGCTATGTTAATATCATTCCCTTTTCAATACATACCATAATGCATTATGTGTCCTTTTAAACATAGCCTCTTTCACCAAACATTATGTTTGAGTCATCCACGTTGACTGTAGGACGTTTTCTCATTCTTGTATAGTATGCTATTCAATTTATGTTACACAATTTATATATTTTTTTAAAATGGATGATGGATTTTTTCTGTGCCTTTTAGAAAATTATTTTGAATATTGTTGTTATGGATTTTTATAGATGATTTATTGTGCTCATATGCAGATGTGTGCTGAAAATAGCAATTAAAATTTTTTCCATTGCACATGCAGCTGTATTAGAGGACTGCAATGGTTTACTGAAGTGTGGACGACATCTGCCTTTCTACCTCTAGTGGACAAGAGTTCCAGGTTCTCCATATCCTTTCCAACACTTAATATTGTCTGTGCTATTTTCACTTTGCCATTCTTATATATGTATCTCAGATTATTTAAGTTTTCTAATAACCAACATAGTTCAGTAACTTTTTACATGTGTATTGGTCATTTAAATATCCTCTTTTACAGTTATTTCCTGGCCATTTGGGTGTCCTGTTTTATGAAGCTAGATCCAGTATCCCTTATACAAAAATGCTTGATATTAGAAATGTTTCAATTTAAGATTTTTTCAATTTTAGAATATTTGCTTATACATAATATCTTGGGAACAAGATTCAGCTCTAAACACAAAATATATTTCTATCATATACATCTTAAATCGAGAGCCTGAAGCTAATTTTATACAATAAAATTTGCATTGCAGTGTTTTGGCTGTGACCTATCACATGAAGTCAGGTGTAAAATTTTGTCATATAGGTGTTCAAAAATTTTTAGATTTCAGCATCTTGGATTTAAACATTCAAATTAGAGATATTCAACCTATGCCAATATTTCTATAAGATTGTCTGCTTTTCTTGTATATATTTGTAGGTTTTCCTTACATAATTTAGATACGATTTATTGAGTATATGTAGATTCTTATTAACATCAGAAATATTAATACATTCTGAGAAATTTATCATTAGGCTACTTTCATTATTGTGCAAACATTGTAGAGTCTCAAACCTAGATAATAGAGCCTACTACATACTGAGGCCACATGTCTTGAGAAGATGACCTTTTTCCTACTGTTCTTTCTTTTCTTTCTTTAGAAAGAGAGATTTTTTTGCTACAGAGTACACGTGCTCACTGAATAAACAGAGAGAAAGAGAGAAATCATCCCCCAATGAGGATGGCCATGCCACAATTCCTTCTCTTCCATTCTCCTCTCTGGATTTTGGTCACGCATGCAAATGTGCACAGGGTGAGTTTCAAGCCACCAGGTCTGGGACTGGAACCACGGTCAGCCATGTGGGAATCCAGTACCTTAACCACTATGCCAACTGCTAACCCCATGTTCATCATTCAATAAATGACATAACCTTACATGTGTTGCTTTGTTTTGATTCCTTATTTTATTTTTCTTATAAATTCATTTTTTATTATGCTAACATAAACTTTTAAGTACTATACCTTTACAGTAACTCTTGGTAAAATAGCTCCTTGTGAATGTTTTAGAGCTTTGTTGTTTTTCTTCAGTATTGACTTGGTTGTTATTGGCCATTTCTACCTTCAGAAAAAATATAAATTAACTTATTTATTTTTTATAAAAAATGCGGAGATTTTGTTTGGAATCATACTCAATGTATAAAATAATTTGGAAATAATTGACATCATTTTAATATTGAGTGTTCTTATTTATAAACAGTTTCTATTTCTCCATTTAGTTAAATATTTTATTTATTTTATTATTTTTCTATTTGTTTCCTTTGAAAATAGAAAGTGTACAGCTTTTATAATAGATTAATTTATAGACATTTAACGATTTTTTTGTTATTACACATGGTGCATTTTATAATTTTTTAATTCACTCTTTAATAAAATTTTTAGTTGACACATAAAAGAAATATATAGTTATGGGGTCAATGTAGTTTTGCTGTTTTTTTTTTTTTTTTTCAGGTTTTTGCAATCCATGCATGTGCTTGCCAGAGAGAAACAGTGAGAGGGAAAGTGAGAAGTCACCCCACAAAAAAGGGGTGGCCATACCGCAATCCCTTCTCCTTCATTTTCCTCCTGAGATTTTGGGCATGCAAGCACAGGTGTCCAGGGTAATTTTCAAACTGCTGGAGCTTGAACTGCACTCAGTGATGTGGGAGTCCAGCACCATAACCTACACTACTTGCTGACCCCAAATTTAGTTTTTCAATACATGTATACAATATGTAATTATAAAATCAGGGCACAAAAATACTAATCATTTCAAGCATGTATTATTGCTTTATGTTCTATTTGTTCATTGCTGGCAAAGAAAAGTTTAGTCAATTTTTGTATATTGACCTTACAGCTACCAATTTTATCAAATTAACATATTCCATATTTCCAGTCTCTAAGTTTCTGTAGTAACTCTGATAATTTATGTTGATATTCTGTTGTTAGTGCTTAATAGCTTGAAGAAGTTCTCATCTCTGCTAAAAGTTGTTATCATGAATATTTATTGAATTTTATCCTATACTTCTTAGTATTTTTTTCTGCACAGTTTAATTTTAAATGTTAAATCATCTCTTATTATTTGCATATATTATGGGATAAGAGTCACCATTTTTTTCCTAGCCTGTTCATGCTGCTATAACACTATATCCTGAGCTGATTAATTTATAAGATTAGAAATCCATTCCTTATCCTTCTAGTTTGAGAAACCCAAGATGAAAGTGCTAGCAGATTTGGTATCTGCAAGGATGGTTCTCTGCATCAAAGATGGCTCTTCGTTGCTGTCCTCACATGGGAGAAAGTGAAGAATTAAAATGTCGTAGGGTACCCCCTTCAGCCTCTAATAAGAGTACTAATCCATTCATGAGAGTGGGACCCTCAAGACTTACATGCATTCTAAAAGGCTCCACTCCTTAATACCATCACCTTAGAGTTTAATTGCCAACTTAAGAATTTTGAAGGGACTTTAAATTATAGAAATTTTTGAGAATTTTTGCTTTACTTTTAGTAATAGTCTTTGGTTTATAGTTAACTTTTTTTCTTTTATCTTTTAAAGAACTTTTTGCCTTAGGGCACATGTGCTCATTGGAGAGAGACAGAGACAGAGACAGTGAGA